CTCGGCAAGCGTCGCGCCCAACGTTTGGCTGCGTGTGTTGGTCGAGGATGAGATCCAACACACACGCAGCACGTTCGTGTCAGGCCCTCCCCAGGCCACCCGGCTCTAAAGCTTTTAGGAGGCAAGTCAAACACACGCATAATAGCGCAGAATGAACGGTCAACCTCCAGGCAATTTGTTTTTTAACCCTGGCCGAACCCTGGCCGGACCTTGGCCGGACCCTGGCCGGACCCTGGCCGGGCCCTAGCCGCCAGACCCTGGCCGGACCCTGGCCGGACCCAAGCCGGACCCTGGCCAGACCCTGGCTGAACCCTGCCCAAATTGCCGGATCCTGGCCGGATCCTGACTGTGAGGATCCTGGCCGGATCCTGGCCGGACCCTGACTGTGGCCGGATCCTGGCCGGACCCTGGCCAGACTTTGGCCAGACTCCGGACCGGACCCTGGCGGACCCTGGACCCTGGCAGGGTCCGACCCTGGCCAGACCCTGGCCAGACCCTGCCGTGGCCGGACCCTGGCGCTCTGGCGCCGGACTCTGGGCAGACCGGCCGCAGACCCTGCCGGACTCTGGCCAGACCTGGCCGCGGATCTGGCCGGACTGGCCGAACCTGGCCGATCCTGACCCTGGCCGGGCCCTGGCCGAACTCTGGCCAGAACCCTGGCCGCACTTTGGCCCGGACCCTTGCCGGACCTGGCCCGGACTCTGGCCGGACTCTGGCCGGACCCTGGCCGAGCCCTGGTCGAACTTTGGCCGAACCTTGTCCGGACCTTGGCCGGACCCTGGCCTGGACTTTGAGTGGCCTGGACCTGAGGTCTGGACCCTGGCCTGGACCTTGAGGTCTGGACCCAAGGTTTGGACGCTAGGTTGGAGACGAGGTTTCACTGGACCCAATGTAAGGTCCGGATCCGGTACCTGAGGTCAGGACCCGGGCCCTGAGGTCTTGACCTAGGTGTCAAGGTCTGTCTGGGCCCGACCCTGAGGTCTGGACCTTGGTTTCCAGACCTAGGTTTCCAGGTTTGGACTTGGAACCTGAGGTCTAGATCCGGACCTCAGGGTCCGGACCCAGGTTTCAAGGTCTGGCCGGACCCTGGCCGGACCCTTGCCGGACCTGGCCCGGACTCTGGCCGGACTCTGGCCGGGCCCTGGTCGAACCTTGGCCGGGCCCTGGCCCTGGCCGGACCCTTGCCGGACCTTGCCGGACCTGGTCCGACCTGGCCTGGAGTTTGAGTGGCCTGGACCTGAGGTCTGGACCCCGGGCCCTGGTCGAACCCTGGCCGGAACCTGGCCGCCCTGGTCGAACCCTGGCTGGCCGGACCTGGCCCGGACACTGGCCGGACTCTGGCCAAACCCTGGCCGGGCCCTGGTCGAACCCCGGCTGGACCCTGGCCGGACTTTGGCCGGACCCTGGCCGGGCCCTTGCCGGACCTGGACCCTGGCCGGGCCCTGGTCGAACTTTGGCCGAACCTTGTCCGGACCTTGGCCGGACCCTGGCCGGACTTCTGGCCTGGACCTGGACCTTGAGGTCTGGACCCAAGATCTGGACCCTAGGTTGGAGACTAGGTTTCACTGGACCCTGACCCTGAGGTCTGGACCTAGGTTTCAAGGTCTGGACCCTAAGGTCTGGACCCAAGGTCTGGACCCTAGGTTGAAGACCTAGGTTTCACTGGACCTGGACCCTGAGGTCTGGTCTGGGCCCGGACCCTGAGGTCTGGACCTTGGTTTCCAGGTCTGGGCCCTAAGGTTTGGACCCGGACCTAGGTTTCCAAGTTTGGACCTGGACCCTGAGGTCTGGACCCGGACCCTGAGGTCCCGACCCAGGTTTCAAGGTCTGGGCCCTAAAGTCCCCGGACCTTGAATTCAGACCTTGGACCTAAACCTCGGACCAAGTAGAGAGATACCTAGAAATATTAGAAATTAAATATTTTAAATAATTAATATTTTCAT